CCTGCCGCATCAGCAGGTAAATAAACTGGCCCGGCCCGCCAGGGTGCTTACCCTGGTGAGCCGCGTGCCAAACGTTGCCGACCCCTGTTTTAGAGTAACCTCATATAGTATAGAGCCATGTATGAACTGGATAGAAGTATATGCGTGTACTACTTCCTCTACTAGATGGAATCAGAACCAGTGTGTTATAGGCCCTATGGTGTTATATTGAGACTCTCCATTAGCTCAAGTGGTAGAGGTCTGTGCTTTAAGAACATGAGGATCCAGGTTCTCTCCCTGCTGTTGCTGTGAAGCTCTGAGTGGCCAGGGTGTATAACTTAAGGACAAGTATGAAGCTCTTATAGGGCTGTGGCTTGGTTACAGTATTTTCTCCTGCTCAGTGGGGTGCACTCTCTCTCCAGCTGTGATGAGCAAGCTTCCTCCAGTGCAAATGTTAGTGCCTTGGAACTTTTCTGCAGGTGAAGTCTGAGAGTCAGAAGAAGGTGTTGCAGACACTGACTTCTCGTCTGAGGGAGCTTGGTACAGACAAAGTGGAAATCACACAAAGACCAGATGGGCTTTGCTGTCCCCTCCATTCTGTTGTCCCCTCTGTGAGTACTGGAGAGAAATCTTTCATGGGAATGTCAGGAGAGCTAAGCCCCTGACAAATCTCTTCCCCTGCTTCTGCTGAGTGCCATGGTGGGGAAAACTGCTACGCACTCAGAACAACCACAGTGAGTCCAGCTCCTGCCAAACTGTCTACTCTACATCTAATGAGAGCCCTGGGCTGTGAGGCAGTTCTACCCACTAGAAACCCCTGCCCTGGATCCAACCCCAGCCTCCTGTGTGCATCCACTGGCTATAGCCCATGAAAAGCTCCAATCATCACTCCACCACCTTAAGTATCCCAGGGATCCCAGTCCCCAATAAACCTCCTGCCCTGTATTCACAGAGCACGACTGGGAAAGAGGGGGTGGCTAAACTGCTCCCCTGGCAAACACTCTGGGGTCTAGGTACACACCCTTCCATCATATACTCTTTGACAGTCATGTGCTACGTCTCATGCTGCTAATAAAATGCCTAGAATTGATTCCCATCCCCCATCATTTCTTGCTTCCTGGCTTTACCCTTTCTTCTTCTCTCCCCCAGCCCGTCGTTAATGGCTACCGAAACAAATCCACATTTTCTGTGAACCGAGGACCTGATGGGAACCCGAAAACTGTGGGGCTCTATGTGGGAACTGGCAGAGGTCAGTGCACGACGAAGCACAAGGCTGAAAGCTACTTAGATCATACTGGTTCATAGGCATAGTCACGGCCCTCTACTTTGGATCTAATCGTGTAGCAAGGTCCCTGAATTCTGCGTAACTTTGGTGGAAATGTTAGCAGTTCTGTGGTGGCTATGGATAAATTGGAAAAAAAATAGGTTTCTAATAAATTCGGAAGTAAACACCACAATCAAGTTAGTAGCCCCTGTTCTTTCTGTTTATATTGTTATACTGATTTTATGCTGAGCCCACATTTTCAGCATTCTGCAGATGTGTGTATTGACTAAGGCTAACCATGTTGCAGAAGCACATCAAGGGGGAAGCCGGAGGTTTTGGTAGTTGGATAGGTGGCAGTTGTGGCTTGGGCACCTGAGCAGTCATGGGAGACCATTTGGGATTGTGGGATAAGCACATCAGCTGGCTTTTCCTTCTGAAAGTTTGGTAGTAAAATCATTAGCAATGTTGACATTTAAATTGTCATCTTTGGCCATGATTAACATTTCATAAATTGAATGGTCCAGTTCACACCTCTCTGAGATGTTGTTTCCAGCTGTCTGCAGGCTCAGGAAGGCACTGCTGTTTTGTTTGTACCCAGGGCTTCTCTATGTGGTGGGGTAATGCGCCCTATGAGGGTATGATTTCTAAAGCGCACTAGTATGTTGGTGCATTAATTGTTTTGTGTAGACCCTGCTGGTGAGCACTAATGGATCCCTAGTGTGCTTTAAACGTAGTACTGTCCCAAACATCATTAGGAACAGCACTAAATTAAAGCACACTAAGGAACCTTTAATACACACCAGCAGGGTCTACATCAAACAATTAATGCACAACACGTTAGTGTGCTTCAGAAATCACACCCTTGTAGGGTGCATTACTCCACCGTGTAGACTAGCCCGCAGGTCAAGTTTTTAAGCTTTTCTTTGTAACTATGAGAACTAGCCACAATTTTTTTTTTTAACAGAAAATTTAAATTCCAGATCAAAATTCTGTGGCAAGGGGTGAATTCCATGGCAAAGTTCACAGCCATGGAATATAGAGGGCCCTGGATATAGCCAAAAACCAGAGCTCTGAGGTAGCTTAGTTGCAAGTGGATCATGGGTGAGAGGCTAGATTAAAGAGGGAGCACAGCCTCAGCCAATCAAACCCAGTCTATTTTCCTTTATATTTTCAGCCCTTTTCTAGCAATGGTGCCATGCTGCACATGTGCCTGATGCAGACTCATGCACTGGGGGCAGTGATCGTGAGCATTTTCATTTGGAAATAAATCTCATGGGTTCATTTGACTTTGCTTTCTGATTGCTGAACTACAGGGTTTGGTCATCCCACTATAAGCCAGTCTGAGCAATGCCATGTCAGTCTAAACTGTGTCACCGCTCTGGGCCCATTCCATTACTCCCCAGTTAGCAGAAGCAGAGTGAATTGGTCTTGATAGCTATTATTAAAAACATCTTGCTCAAAGGAAGCAGTTGCATTAAAATGGATTTAAAGAAGCTGTCAGAGCATTAAACATTTCTTGCAAAATACTGAAATTACATAATTGGGCAAGGACAAACCTGATACTTCGTGGAGGCTGCCTTAGACCCTGATTCAAATAAGATGGAGTAGGGGGAATTGAGACACAAGTGTGTCTGTTATTCCAGTGTAGTGCAGTTCCCAGAGATCTAGGGATAGACCTTCCTATCTATCTACTGTGCAGTACCTGGCATTAGTACAACGATTTACTATTCCCTGTTTCAGGGTATTGTTACAAGACAACAATGAGAGATTAAACACCCATCTGTCTTTCCACAGCAAGGAATATTGTCTGTGTGCGAGCCAACCACCTGGAAAACATACCCGAAAAACACAAACAAGTGGCCCAGGTAATGAAGAGCATGTGTGCATGTAGACAGAGTAAAGAAAGGACATGACAATGTTTATTTGGTAGGAAACGCTATAGTTGAGATTATGCTGAGTTTTCACGATAAATCCATATTCACGTGCTTTGTAACATACTGAAATTGTCCAAGCTCGGTCCTGACTAAAAAGTAAATATTTCTGAAAACTGAGTGCAGTTAATTTGTCCATTCTTGCACATGCATTGAATCCTGGAGCCTTAAAACTGCCCTACGGTTGAATTCCTGTAAAGTCACTCTCTTTCTGCAGGGCAGAGGAAATGTTAAGATTCCAGGACAGTAATGCTCAAATAGCTGAATTTTACAAGTTGAAACTTTCGAAGTGGCTTGTTTTCATTGGGAACTAATCTTCAAGATAGCTTTTTATAGATACATTTAAGTGAAGTTATAAGCAATAGAAAAATTAGTTTTGTACATGTGCAGCGTAAACTTTCTAATAAGGTTAGAATTATGATACTATGTATAGGACTATAGATTAAAGAGAATTCCTAATATCAGTGGTATTTATCTGTACTTTATTTATACTTAGTGCTATGAGGAATTTCTTCAGCAGTCCCCACTGGATCCCTGCCTCCTGTTTCACCAGGGTGGCCACTGGCGCGAGCTCATAGTACGCACCAATAGCAGTGGACACACCATGGCCATCATCACCTTCCACCCCCAGGATCTCAGTCAGGTGAATATGTTAGTGACAATGACAGCTACCCTCCACCACTGTTCTGAACCCAGGGACATTGCCAGTACCAAGCAATGTGAGTCAAAGTGGTGGCAGTACCAGAACATCTAGTTGATGGGGTTTATAGAAGAAAGGGAATATTGGCAGTATCAATACAAGAACTACTAACCCTGTGGGAGCATATCAGAGATAATATCAAAACTATGCTGCTCATGAGGGTTATAGCAGTGCTGATATCAGAAACCAACCTAATGCCATTTTACAGTAATGCCAGTGCAAGGTCTACCATGTTTATGGTAGATATAACCATGGCAGTGCCAGATCTGCTCGTTCATATGAGATAGCTATGGTGTATAGCTGAGGATAGGTATTATAAAAATCAGCATAACCAGATGGATCTTTTTCTTTTGCTCTTGGCAGGAGGAACTGTGTACTCAGAAAGCATTGCTTAAGGACTTTTTCACTTGTGGGCCTGGAGCAGTCTGCAACCTGACCTCACTCTATTTCCAAGAGAGGTAAATTTTTTCGACACCTGATAAAACTTGCATCATGTCAGAAAGTGGAGGGAGAGGCAACAGGAATACTGAAAATGAAACTCCACTGGTACCCCCTATTTCTTACCCATATCCTCAAACCTGCAATCCAACTACTCTCCCATCAGGACAATTCTTCTAGAGACTGACAAATAATAGTGATATTTGTTTGGGCAGCCCTTCTACAGACACCATTTTAGGATGGCTATGTCTTCATTTAAGTATTTCAAAGCACTCTGGAAACATTAATACATTATGCTTTGCAAAACTCCTAAGAAGCAGGTAAATAAATATTTTTACACCTGTTTTACAGATTGGGAAACTAAAGAACAAAGCTGAAGTGACTTTCCAAGATTACAAATAGAAGGTCTCACGCCCAGTCTTCTGTTTTGACCACAATAATTAATTCCAGATTTTGAAAGTGACAGAATTTTTGTAAATGATCACTTCAACTTGCTGAAGTGTTCACAGAAAATAATAACTCAAAGGTGGTGCTTTAGATTAGAGAAGAAATCAATCAGAGAATTGCTCTAGATGGAGATCTGGTCTAGATCAATGGATGTTGGGGGGTGAGGGGTTTGTTCTCCCTGTATTTTAACACTGTACTAAAAGGAAGTGAAATAAACTGGCTCTTTGTTGAAAATCCTGTTCTCTAATGGATTCTCTTCTTATATCCCCTTCAAGCATCATGACTCGAAGTTCCCACCAGCAATCCCCCTATCAGCTCCTCTATGGAGAACCATACATCTTTGAGGAGGTCCTGGGCTTGAAGTTCCGCATCTCTCCAGATGCCTTTTTCCAAATCAACACAGCTGGGGCAGAAGTTCTGTACCAGACAGTTGGGAAATTAAGCCGGGCTGATAAGAACACTGTCCTTCTTGATGTCTGCTGTGGAACTGGTGAGAACTGACAATGCAGTGGAGTCGACACAAGTCTGTGTTTGACAAGGTCACATTTTTATTTTGGGTGTGAAGGATGTGGTCTCTCCAGAATTTAACCACTGTCTTGCTCCCTATTTCTTCATCTTAAAACCTTGAATTTCTTTCTCTCTCTTTTTTTCCAGGTGCCATTGGTCTCTCTCTGGCTCACCAGGCATCTAAGGTTGTTGGTATCGAGGTGGTGGAGCAGGCTGTAGAGGATGCCAGATGGAATGCAGCATTCAATGGTGTGAGGAAGGAGTTTAAAATCCATTGCTGCAAAATACAAAGTATCTCCTAAGTGGAGGGCTCCTAATAGTCCCAAGGTGGGCTGCAGATGTTCCAGTAAAAGGGAGAAGCTTCATGCTATAACCACCTCACTCCTTCCTTTTCTACTTCACAACAGTGCTCCTCCCCACCTTTCTATTAACTCTGTGACGAAAGGGGCATGAAATGGTCTTGGTGGCTAAAGAGAATGGAGGTTGATGAGAGAATGGCTGTGGGAATGGCAGTGGAGGACTATCTAGACTTGATGTCAGGTCCTCGTGCCTTTTCTACCTCTACATTACAAAATGGGCAAAGGTTAACATGTGCTCTGACCCACACGCCCAGATGAGCATGCCATCTTGGGTTCCACACGCACCTCAGGTCTCAATGACGGGGGGGTATGGGCAAGAACTTGCGGCTCCCCACATGGGAAGTTGTTGTCCCACAAACTTACACAGGATCGTTTTAGGGGTCAAGGCAAAGATGCCACATTTATTATTAAACTGTAACTATTAGCAAATACCTCAATGCTTATACACATACACTCACACACACACACACACACACACACCAAAATGTTCTGCAGCTGCTGGATAGTTACCAGTCCTGATTGTAGTTTGAGTTCGCAGCTTGGGATCGTAGCTCGTGGCAGCTAACTGGCCAGGAAAGCTGAGCACGAGGAGGAGCCGGGTCTCTGTCGGGCGCGCACCGATGCTCCTTGATGTTGATAGCAGAACGTTACCCAAAGTCTCTCATTTCACCCTTCCTTTTTTATAGGAGTTTAGTTTGGATTCAAAGTTCCTAGGTCTCGCTGTGTCACGCCGCCTCTGGGTTTGTTTGATCACCCGTCAATTGCAGGCGCGACTGTCAGCCTGGGACCTGGCTTTGATCTTCCTTCTGTTGTTTCTTTTTAGGGTGGATGCTTCTTGCTTGAGTTAGGGCTGTTGTCTCGTTCTTCAGCCGTTGGTATTTGAACTTTATCTCATCAGGACGGGCTGGTGCTGGAGGTTGATTCTATCACCCATGCATCCCTCATTCACACATCTCAACTAGACTAATAAAATTACAGCAGGGTTTGCAACAATGAAGGTTGCAGCAAGCCCTTACAAAATGGAGTAAGCGTTTTAAAATGGGGTTTGAATTACAATATGGCACAGAAGTTACAATGTAGGAAAAATGGCAAGTGTAATGAAAGTTACAATGTAGGCAAAATGGCAAGTGTAATGAAATGGTGAACAGAAGTTACAATGGTACAGGATAACTAAAAACAATTTCATTCACATTGGTTCTACAAAGTCAGCAATGTAGACTTACCTTTAGATGAAAATTGGGGGAATGTGGCAAGGGAAGGAGATGATCTGGGAGGGTGCAGGCAGGGAAAATCCGTAAGATGTTCTATGTTGACATGGAAAGCATCCCTATGCCAGGTATGCATTTCTCAGGGAGACACCCTCTTGGGATGAGAGACCCTGAGGTTTGCTGTGCCTGAGGGGTACTCTCTCTTCATCTTCCAGTTGGGTTGATTCTCTGCCTGCAGGGAGCATTTGGGTGAATGATTTTTCTGCACAGGGATCTCAAACTGTGAGTTTCACAGTGGAAAGGCGGAGACGGTGTTACCGCAGTTCCTGATGTCGCGAGAGGATGACCAGCTCCTTGTTGCAGTGGTAAACCCATCCCGGGCTGGACTCCGTAAGAGAACATATTTTTTCTTTTTAAGACCTGACAATACCTCTCTTGTTTTGAAGGGAAAAAATACAGAAAAGAAAAAAAACTTTAAACAGAAACGTAAGAAATGTCATATTGTCATAGCCCATTTAGTTCAGCATGCTGGCATCAAAATGGCCAACACCAGCTGCTTCAGAGGAAAGTGCAAGAAACTCTTCAGTAGACACTTATAGAATAACCTTGGCCTCAATTATGTGTTGTGGCAATGAGTTCTACAGGCTAACTGTGTATGAAAGAGTATTTCCTTTAATTGGATTAAAATATGATGCCTTTCAATTTCATCGAATGTCCCTCTTGCTATAGTTTTGAGAGAGATTGAGTAGCAGTGCCCTGTCTACCTTTTCTATACCATTCATTATTTTTCTATGCCTTTATCAGTTTTCCTCTTTAAACAGTTGTAATCTTTTAAATCCGTCTTGATATGGAAGTTTGTGCATGCTTCTCATCAATTTGGTGAGAGAGTTCATCAGTCATCCTTCACTTCCTTGGGAAGATGAGACAAGCTCCTTCACATCAGTGCTCTGTCTGAACCAGCTTGGATCCTGCTAGTGTGGTTTGCCTGGCAACAGTGACAATAACCTGTCACCTTGGACCCTAACAATTTGAACTCCCTTGCGCCTGAGCACTCCCTGTTCCACCTGCTGCCTTTCTATTTTCCTTGTTAAGGGTGATTGGTTTTGGTCATCCAAATGTAGTTCTGTGATGTTGGCCTTATAGGAAAATGTTGACCAGTCCTTAAAGAAATCTCTATTCTGGGGGTGTTTCTCTATGTAAATGCCTAATTTTTTTCTGCTCTCAGATTATCGTGTGGTGCGGGCCATTCGAAACTGCGAGGCCATCCGTACGTTGATCTATGTTTCCTGCAAGCCTGAAGGAGAAGCCACGAGGAACTTCCTTGAGTGAGAAGGAGCCTTTTTTTTTTTTTTGGTTTTGTCTCTGTTGTTATGAGGGAGAAGTGCCATGCCCAGAGGAAAAGAGCACAGCAAAGGAGTGAAATTGCTTGGGGAGGTTTTAATTTGGTCTGAACCTTACTGGAGTTGGTCTTGTAGGACTCAGGCCTGCCCGCCTAGCACATGGCCAGAAGTTACTACACCTGTGTGCCTACTGGTGTGTCTATTCACAAGTTACACATTGTGATAAAAGACTTCTGAGTCACTGTAAAGTATTCAGTGAGGATGTGGGCTTAGTGGGTAACTGCTGTTTTAAAAAAAGGGGAGGGGGGAAAAGTGAGCGTGATGCTTAAATGCATTCATAAAGGGATAGAAAATAATGTAAAACTTATTGTAATGGCACTGAATCAAACAAGCAGCGTGCCTTCATCTGGGTTACAGTATCCAATATATTCACCGTAAAGAAAATAGGCTCCCAGCTGGCAAATGAAGTCAATGGGACCATTCACATGCTTATAGTTAATCACATGGTTAAGTATTTTGCGGTGTCAGGGCCATAGAGCAGATAATGAAAGGTCTACAGAAGAACAATGAAGATGGTTAGATAATGCAAAACCTAGGATTATTTTCTAACAATATAAAGCCTTTCCTAGCTCTGGTGTTTTGTGAGAAATCAAATCTTAAATTTGTCCCTGGTCATTCAGATTAGCCGTGCTTTATTGGAATTGGTCCAGGACTGAAGAGAGCAGTCAAACCAATGTCAGTTTCAGTCTGAGTGGTTGTTCTTTCCCAAATAATAAGTATCTTTAATACATCTTCTGATTCTTCATGGGTGGGGAGGAGTCAGGTATTACTAAAGAAAAGGAAATGGAGAGGGGAAGGATTTTAGAAACACAGACAATGCTCCTCTAGCTCTGGATTAATGGGGAAACTGATGCCTTTTGATCCTTCTTTTTTTATAGGTTTTGCTGCCCATCAGACTCTGGGAAGAAGCTTGTGGGAGAGCCTTTTGCCCCTCTATTGGCTGTCCCGGTTGACATGTTTCCCCAAACCATTCACTGTGAGCTGGTGATGCTCTTCACTCGCTGAGGGGCCATCCTGGTTTATGTGTTTTCCTAAAAAACAGGACTTCATACCTTTAAAAGTTGAGGGTGAGAAAGAACTACAAATGTTCAGAAAGCTGGAATGGTCATGGCTCTGATTTAATTTATTCTTTTGAAAGTTATAAATTAAAACTCTTTTGGGAATTCTCAGCCTGCCTCGCTGTGCTGTCTCTTGCATATCCTATGAAGTATGAAGCCAGTGTGCACTGAGATTTTCTGTGTGAAAAGATCCTCTATTGTAGTTTCTCATTCCCACTCAAACCCTATCCCTTTTGCCAGGCTATCAAAATGGTTTAGACACTTCTTAACCCCTACTCTACTGTTCTGGGTTTTCATGGGCAGGATTTGGTGAAACTGCTTTAAATATACTAAATACAAGTCAAATCCTTTGTGCTTTCAGTACTATTGCCATGTTATTTAGATATCATTGAACTAGGGCTGTCAATTAATCGCAGGTTTCAGAGTAGCAGCCGTGTTAGTCTGTATCCGCAAAAAGAACAGGAGTACTTGTGGCACCGAGACTAACAAATTTATTTGAGCATAAGCTTTCGTGGGCTACAGCCCACTTCATCAGATGCATAGAATGGAACATATAGTAAGAAGATATATACATACAGAGAACATGAAAAAGTGGAAGTAGCCATACCAACTGTAAGAGGCTAATTAATTAAGATGAGCTATTAACAGTTAACTCACGCGATTAACTCAAAAAAATTGCAATTAATTGCACTGTTAAACAATAGAATACCAACTGAAATTTATTAAATATTTTTGGATGTTTTTCTTCATTTTCAAATATATCGATTTCAATTACAACACAGAATACGAAGTGTACAGTGCTCACATATTATTTTTTATTATAAATATTTTCACTGTAAAAATGATAAAATAAATAGTATTTTTCAATTCACCTCATACAAATATTGTAGTGCAATCTCTTTATCATGAAAGTGCAACTTACAAATGTAGGGATTTTTTGTTACATAACTGCACTCAAACAAAACAATGTAAAACTTTAGAGCCTACAAGTCCACTCAGTCCTACTTCTTGTTCAGCCTATCGCTAAGAGAAACAAGTTTTTTTTTTATATTTACAGGAGATAATACTACCCACTTCTTAATTACAATGTCACCTGAAAGTGAGACCAGGCGTTTGCATGGCACTGTTGTAGCTGGCGTCACAAGATATTTACGTGCCAGATGCGCTAAAGATTCATATGCATCTTCATGCTTTGGCCATCGTTCCAGAGGACATGCTTCCATACTGATGATGCTCATTAAAAAAATAATGCGTTAATTAAATTAGTGACTGAACTCCTTGGGGGAGAATTGTATGTCTCCTGCTCTGTTTTTACCCGCATTCTGCCATATATTTCATGTTATAACAGTCTCGAATGATAACCCAGCACATGTTGTTCGTTTTAAGTACACTTTCACAGCAAATTTGACAAAAAGCAAAGAAGATACCAATGTGAAATTTCTAAAGATAGCTAGAGCACTTGACCCAAAATTTAAGAATCTGAAGTGTCTTCCAAAATCTGAGAGAGATGAGGCATGGAGCATGCTTTCAGAAGTCTTAAAAGAGCAACACTCTGATGCGGAAACTACAGAACCCAAACCACCAAAAAAGAAAATCAACCTTCTGCTAGTGGCATCTGACTCAGATGATGAAAATGAACATGCATCAGTCTGCACTGCTTTGGATCGTTATCGAGCAGAACCCATCGTCCGCATGGATGCATGTCCTCTGGAATAGTGGTTGAAGCATCAAGGGACATAAGAATCTTTAGAGCATCTGGCATGTAAAGATCTTGCGCACCGGCTACAACAGTGCCATGCAAACGCCTGTTCTCACTTTCAAGTGACATTGTAAACAAGAAGTAGGCAGCATTATCTTCTGCAAATGTAAACAAACTTGTTTGTCTGAGCAGATTGTCTGAACAAGGACTTGTAGGCTCTAAAGCAGGGGTCCCCAACGCGGTGCCCGCGGGTGCCATGGCGCCTGCCAGGGCATCCATGTGCGCCCGCCTACTGGCTGCCAGAAGAGCAGCCGCCGAAATGCCGCCAAGAAGCGGCAACATCAAGAAGTGCTACCGCTGGCATTTCGACGGTGACACCTCTTGATGACGTTGCTTCACGGCGGCATTTCGGTGGCTGCTTGTCCAGCGGCCACGGTCCTTGGCGGCTAGTCGTCCGGCGCCCGCCCCACGGAAAAGGTTGGGGACCACTGCTCTAAAGTTTTACATTGTTTTATTTTTGAATGCAGTTTTTATTGTACATAATTCTACATTTGTAAGTTCAACTTTAATGATAAAAAGATTGCACTACAGTACTTATAGTAGGTGAATTGAAAAATACTATTTCTTTTGTTTTTTACAATGCAAATATTTGTAATAAAAAATAAATACAGACGCCCCCCCGACTTACGCAATCGTTCCGTTCCGGAAAGCCTTATGCAAAATTCGAGTTACATAAATCGGAAAGGTACGTTACGCAAAAATTTCCGCAACTCGAAAATCCTATTTCTGGTTTTTGGAACTTTTTTCCATAAGTGCGAATTTGTGTAAGTCAGGTCTTGTGTAACCTGGGGAGTGTCTGTATAAAGTGAGCACTGTACACTTTGTATTCTGTGTTGTAATTGAAATCAATATATTTGAAAATGTAGAAAACGTCCAAAAAGATGTAAATAAATAGTATTCTATTATTGTTTAACAGTGTGATTAATCGCATGATTAATTTTTTTAATCACTTGACAGCCCTACATTGAACCAATTAGATAATTAATATGAAAGAAGTCTATGGTGACATTAAGTAGGATAAAATTGCAGGGACTATTAATCCTCATGCTTCATGGCAGAATCTGATCACCTGTTAGGGTCAGGAAGATATTTCTCATATAAACCCCAACTATAAAGTGCAGAATCTAGCATTGACCACTGTTGGAGACAGGATACCCAACTAGCTGGACCATCAGTCTGTTTGGAAATGGCTATGTGTATGGACCAAAATGAGGCGAAAACAGATTTCAGAGTATCTCCCCTCCGCGCATAAATTCCTCTCCTGTATATTGCTGATCCCTGCAACAAGAACTGTCCCTGCAAGGTGTCAGCAGCAAGCTGCCATTTTCTTATTGCATTCACTATAAAGTAGTCTGCCCTGTCCCATTCAGAAATCTGGCCTTTCTCGCATTTGTACTGCATTCCTCACTCTTTGACATTGTGTATCACTCCATTTTACCCTTATGCTTTGCTGATTAATAGCTCTGCCCAATTCTTCAAAGGATGATGTTGTGACAGATTGGGGACATACATTTGTCAAATTGTGATACCCTGTGGAAACACTATGTCTTAGAAATTATGGCAGAGCCCTTGGTGTTGAATGACTTGAACAATGGTTTTCTACCTGTTGGGCTATTGACTTTTGAATGACTCTCTATACAGAAGCTGATGTTGACAGGGAGGGGCCCCCAAAGAGGACTGGAACCCAGAACTCCCCCATAGTTAGCATATGGGTAAAAGAGGGACAGACACTATTTTAGAGCGACGGTGACATGCAAAGAGCCCAGCCAAGAAGGCAGGAAGGGCTGCCTGGCCTATGACTTGGACCAGAGCCATGACTCACAGGAGGGATGAGATCAGATTCAGACCAGAGGAATTGAATTCAGTTTTTTTTTTCCATAGATATGTATCTCTCTAGGGTTGTTTAATAGTAAAGTGTCTGTGGACAAGAAATTCCTTTGCTAAGTCTGTGTTCCTTACTGTACTGCCACATTATCTCTAAAGGGGTAACTAGGAAACCAAATCTCCCACGGACAGGTGCACTCTGTGGAAAAACATGTCTAAGCCACTGGGGCTTGGGAAGGCTGTGCAGTGATTCCATGGTTTAGGCAGAGGAACTACAGGTTTCCACTGCCTAAGAAGGGTGTCAGACACAGGGTCTACATCTCGGAGTGTGCCTAAGGCCTTGGCTACACTGGCAGTGAACAGCGCTGCAACTTGCTGTGCTCAGGGGTGTGAAAAAACACCCCCCTGAGCGCAGTGAGTACAGCGCTGTAAAGCGCCAGTGTAATCAGAGCCTGCAGCGCTGCACGCTCGCTCGCAGTGCTGCAAGCTCCTCCCCTCGGAGAGGTGGAGTACATACAGCGCTGCGAGAGAGCCACGGCAGCGCTGTGAAGTCCCGATTGTAGCCAAGGCCTCAGAGACCGAGAACTAGGAACAGTGACCAGTCACTACCCAGACGCAGCAGGCTTTGGAGCAAGTGGCCCCAGGAGTTGGGTCCATTTACAACAGGCTGGGGCCCATTCAGAAGGGGGGCCAGGGCCAAGTTATTACAGATGCAGACAGTGTCTGACACCCTTCTTAGGCAGTGGAAACCTGACTAATTTTTTTTGTTTTCCGCTAGTCCACTGATACAGGGTAGCACTGTGATGAATTGAGGTTCTGTCTGTACCACTTCTGAGTTTTGAATGATTTTATGAAATCGTATCATGAATTTACTCTGTCATGGAAAGCCTATATCTACGTGAATCTACCATGAGTTAGAAGGGTTGGGTCATGTCGCTGCCAGGCCAGAGACAATGGTGATTGATGAGCACTCAACTATCATCTATTCAGAGTAAAACACTTTGGGACAATTGGTTTGCTCTGCCTGGGAGAAGACACTTCTTCCTCTTGTCTGAAAGGAAAGGGGTTTGGGAGTAATGGAAAATTATCACAAGATGGAACAAAAGAAGCAAGTGACCCCAGCAGGAGTCTATAAAGGGACTGGGTGGGGTGAGAAGTACTGGTGGGAGGGAGCTATCGTGCAGCAGATTAAGATGAGAAAGGCTGCTACAGGGCAGGGTAGGCAAGAGGTTGGAGGACCCTGCCTGCCAGAACACAGATGATCCCCCAAGGGAACAGCGAGCTAGGACAGACACTGCATTTAGGATCCTTTATTGTTTTGTGTGATCTATATTTAAAGAGCATAAAGTTGATAGACTGAACAAAGTGTGTGCGTGTTGACTGCTGCAGAGCTACTGCATGCCCCAGGGAGTTAAACTGTAAACCATAAGCTTCTCACCTTTTGAGGTGGAGTTTTGGGAGAGGGGTTGTGATGGGTTAGATCACAGAACCCCCCCTTGGAGCTGCCACCTGATGTGCCCAGACTACTTCTGCCCCTGCTTTCCCTGCCAGCTCAGGATCCCAGCACTCTGTCTTGCTGAGCCAGACACTCCCGTCTGCTCCAACAAAGACCCAGGGTCTGAATTACTTGCCCCAAAGCTGCAGGTTTACCTGAAAGCAGCTAACAGAAGTGTTCCGGTCTTTAACACTCAGATGCCCAACTCCCAGTGGGGTCTAAACCCAAATAAATCCCTTTTACCCTGTATAAAGCTTATACAGGGTAAACTCAAAAATTGTTCGCCCTCTATAAAACTGATAGAGAGATATGCACAGTTGTTTGCTCC